CTGGATGGGATCCTGAAACAGGAAAAGGACATTATGTACAAATTCCCAAGGAAATCTGAATGAAGTATGGACTTTAGTTAATAATGTATCAAAAGTGGTTCATTAATTGTAACATGTCACACTAATAGAAGATGTTAAAAATAAGGGAAACGATGCAGGATATATGGGAGCTCTGCAAACTATTTTCACAATTTTTCTATAAATCTGAAACAAAATGAAGAGTTTATTTTTAAAACTTGTCTAATTGTGCTCTTCGAATATATTGCATGGCTGGTGTTCTCTTTGTGGGAAGATTTGTTAATAATTTGTCAACTCTGTGGAGGTTTTAGGGCCTCTCTTTCTTTTACTTCATGGATCCACAAGTTTGAGTATTTCCCATTTCACTACCTATAACAGTGTCTTACCCTTTAATGTCTGTAAAACCTAGTTATAGATTTTAAAATTTCTACTTCTGTTTATTTAATAATTTTTTTTCCAAATTTCTACTTATGTTCTTAGTCTTTTTCAGGAGTCAACTTTTGGCTTTGATATTCCTAATGTGTCTTTGTATTTTATTAATTTCCACTCTTCATTTACTTCTGCCTTCTCTTTTCTTTGGGTTTATTCTGTAGTTTCTTTTCTAAATTTTTTACTTTGGACACTTTACTCATGACCTTTTCTTATTATAAAACACACACTTATGGCTGTGCATGTGCCTCATTTATTGTGAGCCGGACAAGGCATTAAGAGCCTGTTTCACGCTAGATTTGGTGTTCTGGGGGGGGCGGGGGGGAGGGGGGGCTTCAGAGTGCCCAGACTACTGTGCAGCCAGGATTGCTTTTCAGATGGATCCTCCCCAAGACCCCCTCAGGCCACGGAAAGACCAGTCACCCCTCCCTGCCCGCCCTTACGGAGCAGCACCCCTTCCAGGCAGCCCGGCCCTCACCCCACTCCACTGGCCCGGGTAGGCCCCTTCTCCTTCGGAGCCTGACCTTGTCCTCACTGCCTGTCACAGCCTTGCCCAGATCCCCTCCCCCAGAGGGAGAGGCTCAGCAACAGAACCAACCACATCTGAAATAAACACTTGGTTCCCAACAGGAGGAGGAGCCCAGCTGGGACCCCCTCCCCACTTCCTCAACCACTGAGATGAATGGGGAGGGGGGAGGGGCACTGGGGCAGATATCAGTTCTCATTTAACCTGCCCCCTAGGCTGGGCACTCTGCTGGTGCGTCCTGGGCACGGAGGATGCAAAGATAGAAACAGCCTTTCGTGAGAGCCAGATCCATCCCCACACAAGCCACCTTTGCTGGTGTCCAACAGACGCCCAGCCATGGGCCCAGGGAGCAGGGAGCAGGGAGTGACCTGGCAGTAGCCGAGGTGGAGGTGCCCTTCCTGAGGTGCTGGGGCGACAGCCCAGGCAGGAGCGGTGCAGAGCTGCGAGGAGCAGAGGCCATGACCGGCACTCTGTCCAGCTCCACGGGAGCCCAGCACCCCACCCGCCCCAGCGGGATGCCAGCAGCCCACCGCGGCCCCTGCTCAGAGCCATGGCCTCCGGTCCCCATCCTGGTCCTCATGGGTCCGCTCACCTGCGTGAGTCCAGGCCCCAGAGAGACGGCAGGAGCAGCCGGGTACAGATATGCTTGGGCCAGGCACCGAGCACCAGGAGCAGGAGACCTCCCTGGACCCGGACCGTGTGGCAGAGCCTGCTGCCCCTGCCCCCTGCCCCGTGGACCCCTCTATGGGGAGGAATCCGGTGGGCGTGTGGCCGGGGGTGTGGGAGGTGCTGCCTTTTAGAGCTTTTCCATAAACAGGTTCCCCAGAGCAGCTGGAAGGGGCAGGAGCCAGGAAATGCTCAGGTGAGCCCAGCTGAGTCCCGAGTTGAGAGATGGGCATGGGGGCTAGAAAGCTGCTTCTAGAAACTTGAGAGTCCAGCCAAGGCCCGAGAGGAGCAGGCCTTCCCCCTCCTGGGTGTTGGGACCTGCAGTGGCCAAGGGGGGCCCATCTGTGGACACCAAGAGCCCCCGCTGCTGTGATGGCCTCCGGGGGCATCGGCGTCTCCTCCACGTGGTCCCGGGCGCCTAGAAGCCTAGCCACCCGCTGCCCGGGCACCCCTTGCCCAGCCCTCAGGCACGTCAGAGGGTATTGTTCCCCAACCACCCGTGGCTGAACGCTGCTCACACGTTTCCGGGGACCAGTCCAGGGCGTTAGACTGGATTCCTGACATGCAGTCAGCACAGGGAACACTCGCTGCCTCCCGGAAGGGATTGGACTCGGCCCGGGGCCTGGGCCCTGCGGTTGGGAGAACAGGCCATTGCTAAATGGACCCGGAGTGGGACTTGGCCGTGGCCCAAAAGCTTCCGTGCGGCTTGTGATGGGCCAAGGGGAAGTGGGCAAGTGCCTGGCGGGCCTCACGGGGTGCAGGCCATTCTGAAAGCCCCTGTGCCTAGGGATTGCCCCAGCTCTGGGCAGGGTGAACCTGAGAGTTCCTCCTTGACCAGGTGCCCAGGCCCAGTGGGAAGGGGGTGGCCGAGGAGTGGGGCCTCCAGAGTCCCGTCTGCCCTGGAGCCCTGGGAGTCAGCCTGTGTCCACACAGGAGTCTACCCCGCGCCCCTCACCCAGCCCCCAGAGCTGACAGCTGTGCGAGGCGGGTGCCTGCTGAGCGGATCCTGCCCCAAAAGCCCTGCTGACCCTGAGGAGGTGGCACAGCTTTCCCCTCTCACCCCGCCCGGCCTGCAGGGCCCCTGCCTTCCAAAGGCAGAAGCAAGAAGCACCCTCGGCCGGTCCCCTGCCCTCCAGTCCAACCAGCCCAGCACTGAGTCTGCCCCGGTGACGGCCATGACTGTCCTGGGACCCCTGTTGTTTTCCAAATTGGTCCCCGTACATGGAGGGCAAGGAGAGAGCAAGGAAAGAGGCCACTCCAGGTGGGCAGGTGCAGGTTAGGCAGCAAGGGAACGTACCAGGCTGGTCTTGGGCGCGGGAAGACAA